TCAGAAATAACATAAACTTTCAAGTTGCAAAGAAGAACAGCTTGCCAAAACCCTGTCAAATACCTTCATAATAACTAAAGCAACTGCTCAAGTTTCACCATTTTTATCTAGCGCTTGATAGACTCTTTCTGCAATAATTGTTAATACATCAGCAATTGACCTAGAGAAATGAAAGCCATATTGTTTATCTGAAAGAAGACCCTGCAAGGTGAGATGCTTAATCAATTTGGAGTTTATTAGAATATCTTTGACTTTGCCAAAAAGAGGTAATAGGTTGATAGAAGGATCAGATTTTGCCTGAGTTCTTAAAAATAGGAACTACAAAAGAGAATTTTCAACAAGCAGGAAAGCAAGAAGCAGCAAGTCATTTATTGTAGAGATTAGAGAGAACAGGAAGACATTTCTTTAGAACTATTGCAGGGATACCATCAAGTTCACATGCTTTGTAGGGATCCATGATGATAGCAGAAATTATAGAAAGAAGAGTAATAGAAGACTTTTATTTAACATGCTATTACAGAGACACCATTACTCATTGGAACCAAACTTGTCAGAGGCTATAAGCTACCTCATTTTGTTAGTGAAGAAAGACTTAGCCTCACTGAGGACATATTACAATTATTATGAACAGACACAAAGAGATGTCTGTCGTGATCAGAATTATCATGTTGGTACAACTGGAAAAAGTGGCTGAACTGATAGGTGCAAACGAAGGAGAGGATTGTCATTTCACCAGGTATTTCCAAGATATTCTTAAAGACTGACTTTCTGCTCTGCTATTAAGATAGACAAAGAACTGTTCACTGATTACATTTACCAAATTTTGTGTGTGTTTGTTTGTGTAAATAACTCTTGAGTAGTTTATAACACCCTGTTTACCTTCTCTCAGTTGCGTCTCTGTCTTTGGCCAGAGTGCGCTCAGGGGCAGCTCCCTCAAAGGACTGAGTCACAACTGAGGAAAATTATACTGAAGAGGTGCCCAGCCCTGAGGAACAGCTGCCCGGGGCCGAACCCTCTCATTGCACCAGTGAGAGGGATTGGTGCTCGCACCGAGGCCAGTGTAACCGACAGTTGCAGGGGCTTGGGGAATTTTTCTTCCTAGCCCGGATGTATGCGCTTGGATCCCCACTTTAAAAACTGATCTTGTGTCACACCTTGTCTTCGTGGGGAGACAGAGTAAATACCATCATGTGTGTTTGTTAAAAATGACTCAACCAAAATAAAATTAGCCACTGATTGAATACCTTTGAAAATCTGGACAATGCTGGGTAACCATACTAGTGTGTTTTAAGACAAATTAGTGGCTGACTGAAACACAAAGTAAAACACTTTGTAATTAAAAGTCAAGACTATTATCATTTTTTTTTATGTACAGATTTTGTTAAATTTTATTCTTTTCTATAAATAAAATAAAAAACTTACATAAAACCATGTGTCATGTGATCGGATTAAATTTACCACTCTCAAAATGAATTCACTGTCTGATAAGCAAACCTAATAATGAAATTGGACTCATTCATAAACATCAAGAACTCACTCAATTTCTAAATGTAATTTTTTACTACTTTTGCATTTATTATTCCACTTTATTTATAAATGCCTGTAGAGTTAAAGAAAGTTCTAAGTAAATACAGCAACTGATTGAAACAGTGAATTAATGTCTCATTGCCTAAACATTACAAATGAATTGTGTTAATGACATTTAAGAGTTAAATCTTACTGTTAATTTGATTCTTTTTTTCAGTTCTAAAAGCAATGAAAACCTATAAATTTAAAACTGTTCCTATCATTCTCTCATTTTGTTTTTATCTCTTTCTTTGTTGTAAGAAAGAAATCCTTTCTTTATTAATGTTAATAAAATAAATTTATTTGGAACAGGATGTTTATTTTTCTTCAATTAAATGATAAAATTTTGTAGAACATGTTATGCAGACAGTTCAGAAGACTAACTCTAATTATGTTTGATGAAAAAAGATATATATATCCATTTAATGTTTCATTGTCTGATTTGATAGAAGGTAGCTGATGATGATGATAGTATCTCAGAAATGTTTTAACAGTGGATGGAAAATAGGTCACCAAAATTTGAAGGTGCATTAGAATAGTGAAAGTGGCTTCCAAAAGTTAAGCAAAATATAAAGAAACAGGAAAACAATCGTTAGAAACAAAGAAAAGAGTGTTTGATGTGTAATATTAATCCTCCTCTAAAGAGAAGATTTGAAGGAACAGAAATGCTGTTCTACAGGAGGATGCTGAAAGTACCATGGACTGAATATGTGAGTAACACAGATGGTTTAAGTAAAATGGAAATGAAAAGGACACTTCTACTTAGAATCAGAAAGAGATAGTAGAAATTTTTAAGACACATAACGAGGAAAGAGGGCTTGGAGAATATGACACTGACAAGACATACTGAAGGCAAGAGAGACAGAGGAAAGCAGCAAGTAACCTACCCAATAAGCTTGTGTAAATGGTTGGTAGAACAGGGATTAGGAGAGATAGTAAAAATAAACATTACTAATATCTACAAAGGATAGGAAGCTATGGATAGCCACGATCACCCATTACCTGAAGAAACAGAGCACATAAAAGATGATGAAGTAGTACAGTGTAACCCGGATATAAGAGAAACCCGGATATAAGAGAGATTTTCTCTGGTCCCAAATTAGAGCCTGTGTTAATGTATATAAATTAGACCAAACCCGGATATAAGAGAAACCCGGATATAAGAGACTTCTTCTCCGGTCCCGACAACTCTCTTATATCCGGGTTACACTGTAGTAAGAAGAAGATAGGAATCATACAAGCTCCTGCCTGTGAAGCAAGGAACAGTAGAATAAAACACTGATTTCGATGCTTAAAGCAATTTATAATACAGTGTGACCCGGATATAAGAGAGTTTCCGGGACCGGAGAAGAAATCTCTTATATCCGGGTTTCTCTTATATCCGGGTTTGGTCTATTTTATATACATTAACACAGGCTCTAATTTGGGACCAGAGAAAATCTCTCTTATATCCGGGTTTCTCTTATAATAAACTTCCAAATGGATCTTAAATAAAAGTTTAAGTGAAGAAAATTCTGTTAGAAAATTTGTTAGAAAATCTTTTTAAATTTCAAAATATTTATATTTTGAGCATTTATAACTATAACTAATTGTGAAAAAAATATGAAAATAATAATAATATACGTAATAAATCATAATTCCTAAAAGCTTTAACCTGTTTTAAGATAAACCAATTTTGTATTGTATTTGTTTATACTAACTGACTTGTATCATTTCAGAAATTAAAAAAGAGAAAAAAAAACTTAATTTTAACACAAGTATTGTTTTTCTGAATCCATTTTTGTTATAAATTATGTTTATTGGTGATTTATTTCCAAATTAGTTTTAGTTTCCTTTTTATTTGATAAATTATTATTTTGATGAATGAACATTGCACTGAACAAGCTATAAATTGCTTTTATTGATAGTTTATTAATTTTTGACTGAACATTTTCACCAACTCTACTACCTAGCATATTTATAGTTGATTACACACAAATTGGTAGGATATCACCACTACACACTTTTGACTGAGAAATTCTTAAAAGTATTAATAAAGTTTTAAAACTCTGTTGACTAACAGAATATTTCAATTTCTACTGGGGACACACACAAAAGTTCATTTTTATGTATAGTTTTGGCTTACATGGTGACTCCGTATTTTCAAATCTGCTTCGGATTAATCATGTCTTCATTTAAACCCTCCACCCTCTTTTTTTCCTTTTGCTTTTATTCTCTTTAGTTCAATCTGTTCTATTTTAGTTTCATTAGCAAACTGCCTAGCACTAAAACACATTTTCATAAATTATTGAAAATTCCTAAAAGCAGATAATTCATCATTTAATGATCTGATATAATCAGCAGTAATTCAGTCTTTTTGACAATTGAATTAATTTTTTTAATTTTAATTCCTTAAAATTAAAGGATCAGTTTTTGCTTTTTAATTTACATTCATTTTTTTTTTCCTTCATTTTGTGTCATGACAAAAGCTTCATTCCATTCAACCCTGAAGGTATTTAAATCAAGCAATGAGGCTCGGCTCTGTGAAAGAGCCATCATGGCTGCTGTATATTTAACCTCCCTCTTCTGATAACTTCTTTTTTTATTTTACTTGCGAGGAAAGTATTTTTTTCTTTAAATTAACTTAATAAATGACTGGCAAATTTTTACATCTGATGTAAATAGTCTTTCTTTTTATTGTTCAATTGAAATTTTCTTATTTCTTTAACATTATTTTAAACAATAGAATTTATTTCCTTTGAGAAAAAAACAAAAAACAAGAATGTATTTGATAATTTTGTTTTAATTAATTTTGGATAGTAATGCATCAGAATATTGTAAAGTTTTTAATCAGCAAACATTATTTTAAATGCTGTTATGATAAGCAACATTTGTAAAATCTAAGAATATTACCTTAAATTTACTTTATTTGTATACTCTAGAAAGTTTTTGTCCTAATTTATAGTTTAAGTGGTCATGATAGACAGTGTTTGAATGTAAAGTTAAAAATAACCAATTTTATCACAAACTGAAACATTTTAATAAAAAATGAATGGCTCCCTTAAAATCACTTCATGCTTCTGAGTAATTTACATATTTTAAAGAATTAAAATCTTTAAAATTTCCTGGTGAATTATATTGCAAACAAATTAAAATGACCCAGCTACCTAAGGGCCTATAGCCATATCACATTGAAACACCAATTCTCATATGATCCCCAAAGTTAAGCAATACCAATCCTTGTCAGTACCTAGGTGCTGTAAGCATGGATGTGCATGTGGTATGGCTTCCAGCTATATCATGTTGAAATATTAGTTCTCGTACAGTTACAAAAGTTAAGCAACATCAAGCCTCCGCAATACCTAGATCAGTGACTGCTTGGGAATACCAGTGCTGTAAGCTTGGATGTGTGGGTGGTGTAATGGGCAATGGCTTGAAATTGTTAATCAGAGAGTCGAGTTCCCGTGCGATCACCGAAGTTAAGCAACGTCAAGCCTGGTCAATACCTTGGTGGGTGACTGCTTGGGAATACCAGGTGCTGTAAGCTTGGATGTGTGGGTAGTGTAATGGATAATGACTCAGAATGGTTAATTGGAGAGCCAAGTCCCAATTCCATATTGGTTTTGTTCTATTCACTTACACACGAATATCCTTGGAAAAGGTATTAATACACTTCTTTTCTCCACAGCTATGGATTAATTAGTAGGACTTGTATCAGTAAATAATTATTATCTCCAAAAAATTTCTTACAATCTAAAAAAATATTTCTGGCTTTAAATAGCTTGCAAAAGGTTGATAAGTCATAAAAACAAATCAATCAAACCAATAACCTACATTTTTTTGTCTCTAGTTTGTGAATATTGTAGTTTTTTTTTTTCTCTTTTTTTATTGTTATATAAAACCAGATTATATTTTTAAAATTTAACTTTTTAAAATATGCAAATTTGTGACAAGCATGGAAAAAGTTATTTATTTCTATTCATATTTTTTGCAAAAATTCCTCATGTTTAACCATGCAAAACTGTTTAAAATTGTAAAGCCTTATTCTTTACTAACAATTACTTTAGATGTGATTCTTAGAATATAATTGTAAAAATTTACTATTTTCTCCCACTATGTTAAAATCTATCCACACCCAAAAAATAGAAATATCACGATTTTTTGATATTATTATATTTTCTGTATATTTTTAAAATATAGACAAGTTTTTTGTTTTGTTTACCTTAAATATTGCACTTAGTCTATGTATACAACTGTAAAATAACTGTTCAACACTTTTTTCTTTGTTTCTAACAGAATTTTCCCATTTCTTAATTTTTTGCTTAGCTTTTGGAAGACATCTTGCACTATTCGAATGTGACTTCAGATTTCAGTGTCACATTTTTCTTCCACTCTTAAAATACTACCTACTTGGTTTTGGTATCTCCAATTCATAGTTTGTCTTGGCCTATTCCTCTCGCTGACACCTATGCATTCTGTCTTTTTATATCATGGATTTATACTTATATATATATATATATATGTATCTATTTATACGTTTGTTTTTTGACTACTTCGAAAGAATTCCAAAAAACAAAGTTGAAATCTTCAGTATAAAAGCATTGTCATAGTATAGCTTAAGATAAAAGATTTTTTACTTTATGTAAATTATTTTTATCTGATGAAGACTAAATAAAATAAATTGAACTTAAAAAAAGAGAGATTTTAATCTTTTTCTGTCTGGGTTTCTGGGATAAGGAGTTATCGTTATTTACATGTGGATGATTGTCCTCATCTTTGTTGTTATCTATCTATCTATCTATCTATCTATCTATCTATCTATCAACTTTGTTAATGCTGACTATGATTTTTGTCTATATTTCTGGGATGAGGAGTTATCGTTATTTACCAAATTTACATGTAGACTATTGTCCTCATCTTTGTTGTTATTATCACAACATTTCAGCTTTTGTGCCCTCCAGCTGTAATCAGGTGCTTGTCAATCTGGGTAACCTTAGAGAATATTTAAACTAAACTTTTATTTCATTTACAGGGTAGATTGCTCTCATTCCACTGATCATGACTAGGGATAACTCGTCTTAGTGCAGCTCAATTAGTTTTTGCCCTGTTACCAGTGTGCCCAAGTACACACTGCTTGGCCCAGGGATTGAAAACACAATTACTATATATCCAAATTCACAAACCAATGCTTTAATCTAGTAGGCTATTGTCCCATATCAAAACAGTAACCAAGCAGTACTAAATAAGAACAAGACAAGCTATTCCTAGATATGTTCAGTAGAATGAAAACAATATAACCTTGTAGATTAAATAAAGTGTTCAGTTCAAAATTCATTGAATTAGCAAGCACTTTCATCTTTATTTCCTCTAATTTTTAACATTTAGCACTCTGCATCACTTATAAGTAATACTTCTTTTACTGTATAGGGAATCCCCTCAAAATATAGTGTTTTATATATTAGTTCTATATATTTGAAATTGCAGTAGCCTGGCCCTCAATTTCAGTCAAGAGTATTTTAGGTGTTGCCATAGAAGGATATGACTGCACAATCAAGAAATTCAAATTCAACTTGTATTTGTAGGACTAACATTTTGCTTGGTGAAAATAGTCACCTGCAGAGTGCTAAAGGTTAAAAAAAATATTTATTTGATAATTGTTAATCACATTATTTATAAAAATCAGATTGTATATTTTGTAAATATAATTCATGCTAAATAAAAAAGATTGCAATCATGCTTCACTCTAAATAAACAACAGATAAGTTGATTTGCATAACATTAGTTTCCAAATGAATCAATTTGTGCAGAATTTATTTTACTATCAGTACATCAATTGAATGATAAAATATTACCTGTAGGCAAAACTGAATTCATTACTTAGTTTTCAAAAAAGACTGCTGGGAACTTTTCTATGTGCCTAATATATCATCAGAGCCTCTTTTTTTACACCTTGATCAGTATTTTTTTTTTTTAGTCATTTAACCCCAAGCGAGGCAATAAAGCCACTGAGGGTAATTTGCTTTTTAAGCTCTGCACTAAGTATCAAATAAAGATTTCCTGAATAGTTATATTTAGGTGTAAATGTACATGCTTAATTCAAAAAACTAACAAAGAAATTTTGCTAAAATCTACCATTTTTGAGTTATCGACAATAAAATTTTGGACTCATTTGCACCGTTGGCTTCTATGGCATAGCAGCCATTACTGGCATTGTTTGCATACATTTGCTGCTGAATAGACATGCGCAGAAGATTACCTTGTTAATGGCCTTTTTACTGATCTTATTTGCTTCAATTACTGCACAACTGAGGACTCATTACATGTGCACTAATCAAGACAAGTTAATGTCAATTCAGCAGCAAATATATGCAAACAACGCCAGTAATGGCTGCCTTGACGCTAATGAATCTGAATTTTTATTGCTGATGACTCCAAAATGGTAGATTTTAGCAAAATTTCTTTGTTATTTTCGATTTAAGCATGTATATTTACAGCTAAATATAATTATTCAGGAAATTTTTATTTGATACTTAGTGCAGGGCTTAAAAAGCAAAGTACCTGCCATTGAAACACAGGGGGTTACTGAGTAAGAAAGGATATAAGAAAAGGAAAAACATTATTACGGAGTGAGAACAATAAAAGAACAGGAATTAAAAAGACAGAAGATAATGATTAAACTTGCATTTCAATTTTTGAAGATCAAAATTGACTGAAAAGCAAGAAGCCAGAAGAGACTTCCATGAGCGAGAAGTGTGAGAAAAGAAGCTGTTAGCTTAGTACTTAGGGTTGCCTTCAAACTATCATTCTCATCTTTGTTGTTATCACACTGTTTTGGCCATTTTTCCATTCACTATTCTTTAGGTGTCTGTCAGACTGGGTAACCTTCTGGGAATTTTGAATTGAACCCTTTATTTAATTTACATGGATAGACCTTTCTCATTTCACTGTCCTTGCCTCAGACTATTAGCCTGAATATAAATAATGCAAATCATTATACTCATCCCAGAAATTAAAACAATTCAGCAGTGTTTTTCTTTAAGGTGTTAAGTTCCTTTTTAGATTTCTTGCTATAAACAATGTTTTTGCTCATGAGCATGATCCTCTTTGACTGCTCTATAATTATGGCTATCTGCCAAACTAAGCTAAATTTGTTTTATTCTTTCTTTTGTACTGCTTGGTTATTGCTCATTCTATTTACACTGAGTCTGATCTGAGTTTGTATTACTCAGGTCAAGGATTGAACTCAGAATTACTGTTTCAAAATTCACAACACAACACATTAATCCATTAGGTTACTGTTTTATGGGACTATCCTGAGTCAACATTACAATTTGTTTCTATTAAATTGAAGCAATTCTCAAAGTTCTTTTGTATCTTTATCAAAAGTAGTCCTGACATATTCTTTGAACTTTGTAAGAAATTTAAAAATATATATTTTTGACTTATAAGACCAAGTAAAATATATAGCTCTTGATAATATATTTCATTTGACGTCATCTTACAGTGAAGCCTTTTTTCAAATTTCTGATCAGATTAATGATATATTTAGGTTTATGGGAAAAAAAATGGATAAAAGTAAAAAAAAAATTAATTTTAAGCATGAAAAATAATATTTTAAAATGCCAGAAGGAATGGCAATCAAGTAGTTGGGTGACCTTCACACTTCATTCTATCTGTTATCATTATTATATTCATATGAATTAATTTTTAATTATTATTATTATTATTAATTCATATATTCATATTAATTTTTATAATGGTATTTCAATAAAAACTTAAAAATAAAAATTGAATGAACATCTTAAGAGAAATCATTGCTGTTATTGTGCTGTTATTGTTTTGGTTCATTGTGAACTCAAAAATAATGTTTAGACATATATGCTTATCTTCATTGTTTGAAAATGTTCTAAATGTGATTGGATAACCACCTCTATAACTAAGATATTATCACTAGGTTTATCCCTATCATAACAAAATAAATAAAAAAATAATACCGTAAAAAACACTCCATCTTTAATTTTAAAGGGTGTTCCAATAACTTGGACCGATTTTAAATGTGAATTAAGTTTAAGTGTCTAATGATTTTTTTCTTTTTCTTTCAGATTTAACAACTTAAGTCTTTGGCAATTTCAACCAACAAACAACATCTTAAAGTTTCAAGAGTGCAATTGGAAAAATTGCACATAAATTCAAACAAACTGGGTTGGTGGCAGATGTGAAAACACCATTGCATGCTCGTTTACACCGTTCAGTTGAAAACATTGCTGCAGTGCATGAGAATTTAGCCTAAAATCCAGACACCTTTATTCGTCATTGTGCACAGAAACTGAACCTCTCTATAACAATGTTACATCATTTCCAATTGTACTCTTGGTTGGTCAATTATGTTGACCAAAAAAATCACAAAGTGTGCAAAATGCATTTCTGTTTGAATGTCCATTTTCGTAATAGGTTTCAATAACTTTAATACGTTGTTTGATTGTTAATCTTTCCAGGTTTGAAATTGCCAAAGACTTAAGTTGTTAAATCTGAAAGATAAAGAAAA